GTTCTAACTATTTCGTAAAAACTTATATAGTAAACTTACATAGTAAACTTACAGTAAACTTATATAGTAAACTTATATAGTTCAAATTTTACCAATACGAAGCCTCGAAAAATATAAACCAAAACATTACCTCGTTGAATTCTTGAAATTTCATAGATTTCCCTAGGTTGACCTTAAATTAAATCTAAGTAAATATGCAGATAATATGCAGTTAATATGCATTAATGGTGCCATTTTCGATATTTCTAACCTTCGTTTGTTATGTTTCTTCGTGTATATGTTATCTCAAGGACACGCTCTTGAGTAACCTCCATAAATATTGCTAATTTGAAGTCACAGTCAGAGCTTATTGTCTATTACAAAGTTATTAACAAAAAAATTTGAGGAATATACCAGTTAAGATATAAGTAATAACCTAACCCGACGATATTAACCTTGACATACATTATTAAGGCCACGGCTCTGAGTAACTTTCAAAAGGTTTTAGTCCCTCCTCTCGCTCATAAATGTATTCGTATACGTATTCTACCATTAATATAATTATCATCATAAATTATCATCCCTCAGTCATTAATACAACTTACTTGGTATATCCCGAAATAGGAAGAATTTATGTTTAGAGAATTATCCTTTAGAGCAACGCATTGAAATGAGCTTACTTCTATAAACTTACTTCTATAAACCGACGTGTGATTAATATTTGAAGCTGCTTAATAAATTTAATTCAAATATGAATATCTATTTTGGGATATATGAAACTGTATTAATCATAAGTAGAATGTGTGTACAGCATGTGAGCGGGACTCCCAGCACCAAAACCTAATTATCATCATCGAAATCATCAACCAAAACTTTATAAAACCTTATATTAACTTTGGTCCCTACACGAATAAAATTCTAACACAGCACGCTCATTTTCTCAAACTTCTTGTTAATAATATTTTTTATAAACGGTGACCGCCAACTAGAACCTTTCAAAGATTACTCAAGGTTACGTCCTTGATAACGTGCGAAGGTCACAGACATCTCGGTAAATATTGCATATTTGTCCAAATCAAGTCGCGCATGACTAAAGTGGTTGGTAAATTGTTTCGACTATTCAGTTTCACATAAAGCTCATGGATGAAACTTTTGGCAACTTCAAACCTCGAGAGATACAAATCGAAGCACCATCGCGCTCGACTACTTAATTAATTGTTCTAAATTAATTGTTCACGGATTCCCCTAGGTCGCTCGTAAGCCAAATCTAGCGCTCGTAAACTAAAGCGAAGTGCAGCTGTCCGCGCAGAGATTCCCAAGGCGAAATTGCGAGCCCGCGTGCCGTGGCTCACATCTTCTCGGGAACAAGCCAATCGCGCGATCCGGTGAGCGACGATGCGGCTTTGACGGTGTCATTACGATTAAGTATCGCCGTTCGGATAGTCACGCTGGCTACAAAGTTCGCTTTACTGTCGGTAAAACGGCGCAATATTCTCACGTCCTTCGCGATCCTTACAGGCTAATAAATTTCTTGATGTCGCGCGCTATCGCGCGCCGAAACGGCCGGGCGCTCACTATCTTCGACTGCTACCTAACTACAGGACAATTTATGGTATTCGATACGCACGCGACCCTCGCGCGAACGCACACGCATTTTTGCTAGATCGAACGCATCATGCGGACTTCGGGGGCCGTCGCGAAATCGTAAAACGCCCGGAGGCGGAGGCGGAGGCGGAGGAGAGAGCGAACGCTCTCGAAAGTCGAAACGCGGACTACGCGAGTCACAGCGTTCCGCTGTAATATTCTCGATTCCGATTCGTATAAGCGGATTTGCACGAAAATTTCAGCAGCGCGATTTTTCACAGCTATCAAATTCATCAAATCGAATCCGGAAATACGATTGTCGTCGCACGAGAGCCGGTGCCAAAATAGCTGTCGGCGAAATCGGTAAAAATCGGGTGATGTAAAAAATAAAAAAAAGTAGCAGAAAGAAACAGCGTTACGTAACAGCTGACGCGTTTGTTTTACAACGAAACAGCGCGTGCGTTTCCCGCGGGACGCGGAGGTGCAAAATGCGATCCTGACCGGCGCGCAGCTGGAATCAGCGCCTGGAGAAGAAGCAACGCCGTCATCAGGCGGCTATGAAATATTGATGACCTCGTCGTCGCGATAGCCGAGACGAGACGGTTAACGTCGGGCCCGCTTCATCCGTCCGTTCGTCCGTTCGTCCGATCGTTCGTTCGTTCACTCGCTCGTCGGCGCGATGACGACTCTTCGGTCGTGCGAAGAGAATCCGCCCCATAAATATGCACCGTTACCGTCATATCCGCGACGATAACGCTCTCCGCATGCATGCCGGATACTTTCGGCTCCGCGTGCACGCGTCGGCACGTGATCGAATTTCAAATTTCGGAGAAATGTTTCCCGCGACGAGCGCGGAACAAGCGCGGATGATTCGAGGAAGGCTCCAATCAATCGCGCGATGCGTGCGATTTATCGGCGGCGCGTACGAATCGCCGTCGAGTTCGCGATCGATGCAACTATCGTCGCTGGCTGAGGCGAGATGCAAACGCGTGCGTCGACGTGTGTCAGTGGATGCGTTATTTTTGCGGGATAGTGCTTCGCGATGTATAGCTGCTCTAACTAACTTTGAATTGTTATTAAATCAGAAATGTGATTACGCCATTTCTTCCGCGTTTGGACGTGTCGTCGCCGAAGAGAGTCACTTGTTGCAAGCTGCAGAGAGAGAGAGAGAGAGAGAGAGAAAGAGAGAGAGAGAATATTATGTTATGAAGCTTGCCTTCGTGTAAATTTTTTTCCGATTTTTTAAATCTTTTTCTTTTTTAATAGCAGACTTTTTCTATAATGGACAATTTCCAAAATATATACTGCACGTATGAAATGGGAAAATAATTAATTAAGCGGAATACAGATATGTCCCTAAACTACAGAATGTTATAGTAATTTTTATTACAAAACTTTCCGTGTGTATAGTAACCCACATAATAGTCTTGACATTATATGCAATTAGGTTATTAACTCTTTATGTATGAATGCCGTCGCTACGGCGGCATCATCACAACTTTGCTTCTCAGAATGCCGCCACTACAGCGGCAAACAGACGAGAGACGCCAATGTGAATGGTTTAATCAACCATCTTCTGCTCGCTTGTTATCGATGAGCTACATTCTAATATATATTATATTCAATTATTGCCGATAAAGTTTTTATAAAACAATACATATTTTTCTTTAATCTATAATCTATTCTATTTTATGTACAAAAGATACACCTCGACCTGCCGGGAATCAGAGTCAAGAGAGTACTCGCCAAGAGTTAATATTTTTTAAATGTATGCAATATTGATTTATTGCTTATCGATTATTTAAAGTGGAGGGAACGATTCTGTCAGAGCAATATATTTGTCACAGCGGTGGTTTATTGTCTGGAAATGAATACGGTTACAAGATATTCGTAACCTTGTGCTGAATGTCAAGGCTATTATGCCGTTCTGTATACATAGACCGACGCAATAGCTGCAAGCGTACAAGGTAATACCTTTATAGAGCATACAGGATGTCCAAAAAGTTCCGGACCGGAAAAAAATATCTCGAAAACCAAACATTTTAGAAAAAAATATTTCGGATAAAAGTTGTATAATTTCGAAGGAGACATAAAACAACTATATCAGTTTGTTTACAGATGGCGTCACTTTCGAGATATTCATTGATCGTTACTTTTCTTAAATGGAAGTCCCAATTTTTTATTATATCATCTTTTTCTATCAATTAATTTGAACAACTTTTGTCTGAAACACTTTTTTATTTACCTGATATTTTTCTAGATATTTAAGGAAAACTTGATAAATTTTTCAATATTTAACTTACGATATCTCGCTAACTATTTGTCGGAAGAAAAAGTGATACTAGACCTTTTTACTCTATTTGATCTCAAAAATATACTGTTACAATAGCGCCCTGACTTTTGTTAATTTAATAATTTTGAAATTTCCAAAAGTCGATAAGAAAAGTCAATGACCTTAAAATTTCCAAAAATCGATGTCGTACATTATTTTACATTTTATTAACCCGTAAACACTAGGATGGATGAAAATTTACCCAAGGTGATATTTTTTAACCGTTGCCTGATTAGATAACAACATATAGGGATGTCTTGCTAGAATTTATCATGTTCATAAATATTTATAGTTCATGCATAGTCAAAAAAAAAAATAAAAAATATATAGGTGAGGAAATTTATCCGCTCCAGTGATGAGGAGGTAGCAAAACGTAAAGATTGACGCATGTACGAGTAAGAGAAAGAGAAAGAGAAAGAAAGAGACTATAAATCTACCTGCAATTTAATAAGAAGCGGATAGTACGGTACATCGCAGTAATTCAACACTGAAATGAGGAGATTAAAGCAACAGTGAGCGTCCTCGAATAGTCCCGACCACGCGACGTCGCTCCCTCAAGCCTAATTGATATTCGCGAAACATCCGCGATGTTGTCCGCTCTGTTGATCAGCTTGTGAATAATAATAATCCCGAACGGTCGCGTATATACACGCACACGCGTGCCGCTGCCGCCGACGTCGCCACCGCGGCCGTGGCGAGAGAATTCGACGATGGAATTACGTCCCATTGATTTCCCGTATGTAACGTTCCTGAAATAAACGTCCGGCCAGCCGGACCACCCGTAAACGCGGCTCTCTCACGACGACTGCACGCGCTTAATTTATTTATACGTCAACCCCGGCGACACCCCGGGCCATTGATACTCCCAATACCGCGGCTCTCCCGTCTCTCTTCATCGCATCTCTTCGCGGTGCGAAGGATTTTTATGCGGTGATCACGCGCGATATTGTGCGCGGATGCCGCGCGTCCGCTGCACGCGCGAGTCGCAAAAATCGAAACGTTGCTTGAAAAAATAACAAGGGTTTCCGACGAGGCTTTTCAATCGCAAGTTTTTACTTATTAAAAGGAAACAAATACTATTACTAAATAAAATAATGTCACTCACGTTGCAGAGAAGAGAAGACTCTTCCTCGATCGATCCGATGAATTTGATCTTTCGACGCGTTGAAACGAGACTCGCGAGATTTTCACTTTTTGTGCGGGCTTTCTTTCTTTACTTTTCGTATCACTACAGTTTGAAATAAAGGACTTCGATTAATTCCCACATACATAGGTGCGCATGCGCACCGTCCCATCCTCGCTATTAAAATTCAGGATTAGCAGCTGCTTTTCATTATGTCAATCCCTGCCATTGCAGAGTCGTCGTCGTCGTCGCGCTCGTTCTCGTTCGTCGATGACTGCACCGCAATGTATGACGGCTTCAGACACGCGTACCGCTTAACAGGCTAATATGGGGGCCCTGATTATGTCGTATGAACATCCTAGCGCATACACGCACACGTGCGCACCTTGCAGTATGAAACGTAGGTAGGTAGGTAGGTAGGTAGGTAGGTAGGTAGGTAGGTAGGCTGACGTAATCAGCAAGCACAAATCCATTAGAGAATTGAAGCGTGCGTAACGGAGTGGGGTGTCGAGGGGGTGCGAGAGTTTGGGTGAAAGAGGAGCATGCGGAGAGAGAAAGATAGAGAAAGAGAGGGAGATATATATATACACACACACAGAGAGAGAGAGAGAGAGAGAGAGAGAGAGAGAGAAGGAGGGAATATCATACAGCGAAAGAGGGAGGGAAATCAAAGGGGGTCGAGAGCGAAAGGGACGGGGGGGGGGCGTAAGGGTTCCGCTTTGGCGCCATATGGCTGCTGGGCTCCTTTATCCGTAAACCTATGGAGTACACGCAAGTACCTACGTAGTCGCGCATGGGTTCCACCCCCCGCGGGCCGCAGAATGGATATCTAGGCGCGCGAGATGGGGAACACGCGAGAATCCACTCTCGAACGCGCGGCCGCAGAGCCCCGTGAATGCGCGGATTATCCATTGTTATCGACGCACCCAACTCCTCCTCCGCCCCCTCCTCGTCCCCGCACAACCTGGTGTGTACCTGTACGCACGTCCAATTAGCCAAAGATTATCGCTGCGTGTCGCCTCAAACGACATGTAACCTTGCGCCGTCAATTCAGACGCCGCCGGGTACGTATCGTGCGTATGCAATATTTTCCCTATTCGTGACGAAGACTTTCGCCGTCCTTGTGATCTCGACATCCTATGTCCTTTGTTGCCTGATCTTACACACGATTGATGTATCATCTGATACCCATTATAGCTAGCAAGGAGGAAAATCTATAAATAGTTTTAATTTTGAAAAATTGAACAAACAGTTCAAGTAGTTTTAATTTTTCTCGAGCAAGCAGACACCTCAGTGTTAGATATCGTTGAGTCTCTTGCATAATTGGAAAAATTTGAGAAAATATGCCAATTTTACTGAATTCCTTTTCTCCGTGATCGCCAAATGGATCAAAAACATACGATTGTTGTGATTGGATTGGATCCACCTACAGTGGAAAATCGCGCGTTTACCCGCTTCCGTAATGATGGTCAGGTGGAACGAACGGACATATTCGCGCTCCCGAGATGCGGAAAGAAATTATCTTTGTATGTAAAAGATGAAATTGCGGAATTATCTGAGGTCCCCGAGAGACAATCGATTCGCAGGATCAAACTTGTGAGATATCGTGCGTCTTCTTGAATATGAATTTCTACGCGGTCCTTTTGTCTTCATCGCAGATCGGCCGCAATTTAATACGATTGGGCCTTATTCTATAGAATGTGCAAACGAGCGCAACTATAAGATTTTATCTTGGATCTTATCGATCGTAAAACGTACTCAACGCTCGTGCGCTCGGATGATCCGCCTAATCGCCTATCGGGCGGAGGACAAACAATTAGGACCGAAGTCGTCGATCATGACGAGCTTTTGGCTGAGCCAGGCACGGGAAGCGGGACATAGAAAATCCGGACCCTTTCCTGAATTTTCATGAATGGCGCGCGCTCGAGCTGGTAGAGTAGGTATTTAAGCTTTTGCGACCGTGGGCAAGCCGTCAACAGCTGGCCTGCGCAAACACCTCGCTATGGGGAAACTTTTAGTCCCTTTATACTCCCGCAGAGGGGTGAACCGTTCGATCCTACGTGTGTCCCGTGATACATCACACACGACAAATATCCAACAGAGAGATTGCGCGAAACAAATTCTAATTACTAGTCGGACGAACCCTCCTGCCGCAAAATAAAAAAGAAAGAAAAAACTGTGACCACACGTCCGATATCGTTGTATATTGTCGGACCAGTGAAAAATCTCGTTGCAACGAAATCTTGTCTTGTCGCGGCGGAAGTGTAGACATTCTCTAGAATAACTCATGTTTCGTGTGATACAACTGGATTATCTTTTTATTAATATATCAATTGCTTCGTTATTATAACTGTGACCTAACCTAACAAAGTTCGCGCGCTGAAGAAAAATCGCTGCCGAGAGAAACAATCGCGTCGCACCTATCGATTGATGCGATGAGGAAATATTTTCTTTGTCTCATCGGTATTAGATTTGCTCGACAGAAGATATTTATTTTTTCGAAATTCCCCTATAGCACGAGCGATAAAAAAACGAGCGATTTTGTTGGAATTCCGAACATTCACGTGGCACGGAGGTGATCGTACAGTCTTTTATTATTCAACGCCCTCAACCTTCACCGCCGGTTCTTTCCTATTACACTTTCCCATATTTTTCCTCCACTCTCTTCCGCCTGTCTTCCCGCAGCCGATCTCGAGGAAACGACGGAGTCTCGAACGAAGAAGGACAGGCACGGGACTAACGAAAACAATAAAGAGTGATTTTTTTCCGAGCCGATGAGCCAACCCCCGCGGTCGTCCCGCTGCGGCTTCCGCTCTCCCAACGCTGTTTCCTGCACGATCCGACCCGACCCGACTTTTTTTCACATCCTCGTTCTGTGTTCTGCCCAGAGGGGAGAATCCTCAAGCGTGCTTAAAGGAACTTCATAATTATACGGTATCTATAGAATGTTGAAATATTGAAACCGTCTATATTACACGCGTACGGGTTTAATGTAATGTTGAATATTTCTTGTAAAGTACATATCTGTCAAAGAGAATTTTGTGAACATTCGCATTGTCAAATGACAATAAATTCAAGCCGATTTTGTTTATAAAGATACAATCGCTAAATTTTCTTGAGAGGAATCTAAATATCTAATAATAGTTTTACAGTTATATCTTTAATTATTAGTGATAAATTCTAATTAACGCCAACTGCTTATTTATTTTTATTACAACATGTACTTTTCGTCTTTCAATGATTAAGGAAATTGAGATCCTTCCATCTTTTTGTTCTTCTATCCTGAAAGTTTTCGCATGTGAAGCATGTGAATGTGTATATGTTGGACAAAAAGTTAATAAATTAATAAGGAAGGATTAATTAAGTAATCAGGAAGAAAAAAGAAAAGTTCAGATACGCTTTGTAACTGTATATACGGTAATGATTAATAAGTCAAGAATAAAAGATCGAGTGGCGAGTTAAACGCCGTCGGTTGTAATAGATAGTTGATCGTAATCACGATTACGGAGCTTCACGCATGGGTGGCAAAACAATCCGAAGCGGAAGCGAAGGCAAAGCCGTGAGCTAATGCCGCGAGAAGAAAGCACGGCAAAGCTATCTCTGACTTTCTTCAGCCTATTACAGGAAATGGAAGTGTTTCCGTTTTCCGAGCGAACGAAGAAAAGAGGGTTAAACGCTCACAGAGTAGCCTTTTTCCAGCCGTGCTATTGAATCCTATCGGGATCGAAGACCGGCGAGCCTTCCTTTTTCCACGGACACGCCCCTGTCCATCCTTCCGCGTCCTTTGAACGTTTTGTCTGGTGAGATCAACCTAATCATAAAGATACTGGCTTGCCCTGCGAAAACGGCGAAATCGGAAAGTCATGGTCGCCACTGTGCTTGAAAATCGCTGATACAAGAATGCAATCTGCCGGCTGATGGAAACTGGCTGCGGCCGATGCACAGCGAATCGCGATATACGATGACGCCCAAGAATGAAAATCGCCGTCTCGAAAGATATCTTTCATCCGTGCGAAAAATAGAGTGGTCGTTCTGCGCCAAGTTGATAATCCAGATCCCGAAACGAGCAACAATTTCTCACAGTCCGTCTTTGCAGACGTGCACAAAAGCATCTTTCTGAATGCGCAGAAAATTTCGCGCTCGAGTGAGAGAAATGCTCGCCTTCATCGCGCCTGCTGTTCTCGACTAAAGTTTCTCAGCGCAAAAAGAAAAAAAAAAGAGATCTTTATGCCGACTTCTGGTCACGCGCTGGTATTGCACGATCTTCTAACGACGCCGTAACGAAAAGAGCAACGTAACTTTACTGCGACACGCCAGTGGAATTATGCACGGAAACTCGCGCACACGTCGAAACTTTATCTTTGCTGATTTTACCACGACTCGTTCGTCAAAGGTAACGGCAACCGCAACAGCTCGCGCAGTCATCGCGAAGTGAAGCTGACGACGCGAAGTTACGAACGAGAAAGATTCAAAGAGTCCCTCGCGTAAAAGGTACGCCGAGGGAGAAACTGAATATCCTGATCCCCGCAACGCGATGATGCGCGGAACCGGTTCGGGAATGAAAAGCAATAATTATCCCGCTAATTGATTTGTTACACCGGCGAAGCCGAGCCCGGGCCGGCCCGGCTGTGGCTCGCGTGACTCGAAGGATTTCGCAGTTAAGATCTTTAGCTCGCGTTTACCCACCCTCAATCTCCCTAAAAGTCTCAGAGCCTATTACGGAGGTATTTATGCCGCAGTCGGGAGCGACGTTCAAAGCGACAGGCATCGTGGTAAATTATTTTCAGTACCGCGACTTCAAAGATGCTCACTCTCGAGTGTCGGTTTTTTTCTACTTCTCTCTCTCTCTCTCTCTCTCTCTCTCCCTATCTCTCTATCACTTTCTTCCTCCTTCCCTCCATCTTTCTTCCTCTCCTTGCACGAGAGCGCGGTTTCTTGGTCGACCGGAGCGATGCTGTAAGCCAGATTCTATCATATTTCGCTTAATTAGATCGCGCTTTCTGAGAAAGGCATAAACAAGTTGCTCCACCGCGTACTACCTTCACCCACGATCTTATTGACATCATTAGTAACCACGGACAATATCGTCTGACAAACAGCCGCGCATTTAGTCTGAATACCCGCCGTTTTAATAGATGGATGTTTATCTCCCATCGAAAATCCGCCTGAGCAACTGATAATACGACCTGCTACACGATTTTATGCGTTATCGTTAATCTAATATTTAATAATCTAATATTTAAGGAGTCTCATATAAAGGAATCACTTATCAAATGATCACGCGTATTATTTTTCGTATTAACGCGCGCAAAGCACTATCTCAGGCAAATATGTTTTCCGTGACAGCGTGTAACGTACTCATTAACGCTTTTTGCGTGAATATTCCTTGCCGTTAATTGCAATCACCGTTTTTATTACATTCTATCCTTACACCCATACCTAATCGGTCGTAACGGCCGATGTAATCACATATAAAAGAATTAAAAATATTTTATCCTCGCGATAATATTCTCTTATCGTATCATATGTTTATCTTTGTCGTCGTCGTATCGAGTATCCTTTCTCCGTATCCCCAGTGTATGCTTTATCTAAATAATTACGTTTATATATTCGGTCCAGTATCAACATGTATCAAAGCAACGATCTCACATCCGTCCTGAGCTTAGCGACTCGAGACGCGTCTAGTAGCGTGACTATGTACTACGAATAATCAAACGCAGAAGGATCACTCATAAAGACGTCCTCAAGGGGCGATCTCCCACTAATCGACTAATAAATAGCCGTCGAATTAACCGTAATTGGTTCGGGCTGTAAATAGAGCGCGAGACGTACGGCTGCAAGCCATTAGCATCCCGCAGGATCCATTAGCCTTCCCTCCTTTCCGTCCTACCTGAAACATCACGGCGACTCAAATCCTTCTTTGCTCTGCCGCGCGTAAACGCACCTTTCCATCTCTCGTCCCTTTCACTCTGTTCTCCGCGGACAAAGGAATACGGTGCGTAAGCGGCGAAAAAATTTGTGAAATATATATGTAACTTGCGCGTATGTGTCTGTACGTGTAATATATGTACTTGGTTAAATATATATAAGACATAACATAAGAGTTTCTCAATAAATGTCACGCAGGTAATTTGGATATATCGGAGAAAGAAAGGGAAAAGGCAAAGGAAAACTCTGCTTTAACGAGGAAGGCTGTGAGAAAGAAAGAGAGAGACAGAGAGACAGAGAGAGAGAGAGAGAGAGAGAGAGAGAGAGAGAGAAGGAACGAGGATGAGAGAGAACATTATCGACTAAGCCTTAAAATCGCGAGACTCTTTGAGAGACACACAATACAGCCCGAGACTTTTGATCTACGAGCGAGACGCGTTTGCTTAAAGGCAAAACACACGCTAGAGGATACCGTATGTATAGAACAGTACAAAGGTATTGTACGATCAGACGGACAAACGAACAGACGGAGCAGACGGAGGAACGGTAAGCGCCATGCTCTCGCTGCTACGTGAAGCGTGAGCAGGAGGAAGGAAAATAGAGATAGGAGGAAAAGGAAGCGCAACCGCGGAGGATATCACTTGTTGCTAGAGTTACTACGACGATACTTCATGAGAAATCCAGACGTTTGTAATCTAAGCCACATCGCAAGCCGCATGCATACGGACGCACGTACGCATTACTGATTTCTTGACAAGTTTTGATGATTTTTCTCGAAAGTCTCCGGCATTTCATGCAGCCAGTAAAATTGCAAAATCAGTTGGATACTGATGAAAAGCAAAGAACGCGAGAGGATCTACCACGTAAATGGTAAAACGTTCCCAAAGACATAATTTATTCCGAAAAATATTTGAATATAAAGGTGAGGAATTAAATATCTCTTCAAAGCCCACAAGTATAAAACTAAAGCTTAACAAAAATTATAACTGAAAATTAGTGATTTCTACCATTTTATACAACAATCAGCGGTGTTTATAGACAATTAACACCGGAGATTCATGCGATCCAAAAATAATTCGATTTCTTTGAATGATAAAAAGAATCGTATATTGCCTGCGATTCGTAACCGGACAGTATTTGTGTGTGTGTGTGTGTGTGTGTGTGTACGTTTCGAAAAGATAAAATTTATCAAATCGTCGATGCGGAAACCGTAAAAACCTGTCGGCTTTAATTATCAAACGTTCGCAAACACACGTGTTCCCAAGTGCATCTATCGGAGGCAGTGATTTTTGCGCGAGTCAACCATGAATTTGACCTCGCACACAGTCATGGATGTATTTTCGCTCGTCGGCTATCCCTCGGCGCCTCTGTGACCGCCGGAATCGTTCGCCGTGCAATGCACGAATGCACGCATGCGACATACGCCACCGCGGGCGCGTACGCGGAATGTACTCGTATTTGTTCGCGGATCATTAAAAACGCGTCGGTTTTATTTGACCGCGCCACCGGCCAGCTGACGAGAGGGGTAGACTTTACCTTTGAAAGCGAAACGGACGGGCGTCGCGACGTTTGTTATAATGCTGCTTCAATGCCGGACGTTAATCGCACTCTTTTGGATAAACACGCGATCCAACAGAGAAAAATGTGTGTTCGCCCAATGAAAAAGATCTCACTTTAATTTTCCATTACTCCATCAATCCTTAATTTTTCCAGTTTCAAATCGCTTGGGATTTTAGCGATTTTTAGGGATTTTTAGATGAATATACCCGATGCATTCTAAATATTAAACGCAATCTTCCAACTCTTAATCTCCGGAAGAAATTCCCTGTACATTTTCCATAATCTTTAGAGTACAATTTCTCTTCAGTCTCTCTGCAATTCCACAAGATGGGATTTAGCCACACGGAGAAAATTTTATGGTCAATGTTACTGGAGAATATTATTAAGAGATGTATCGACATTCTGCCTTAATTTATTATCCTTACGATAAAATAAGAATTTTAATGTTTAATAAAATTTTGTGAAATTTATTAAATATTAAAATCATTTATTGTATATGTTCCTCAACGAGATAAATTCTATTGGCAATTTAATGTCGCATTACGTTATTGTAAACGATCGCAGATTTTCAATTTGCGGTTTGTTAAAATTATAGCTGCCGAAGTTTATAATACAGCAATCTACTTCAAAGTTGCTTATTCCCCTGGAAAGATATAGTTATCATTGCTGAAGATTTTGTTAATTATGATATTTTGACATATTTACTTTGACAGTTTCCGCATTTCGCATGAGAGACACGCCTGGTATAAAATATAATATTGATTTCTAGCGATCGTGCAGTTTAGCAGCGTTGCTTATTATTCCGGAAAAGGTGTGATTGTCACTACCGAAGATTTCGTTAGTAGTGATATTTTGGTATATTTATCCTGTGACAATTTACGCATTTTACATGAGAAACTCGTCTGATATAAAATGTTGGTTCCTAGCAGCCAATAATTTACCAGGTATAATTCATCCGTTAAAACAGGCTGATTTAAATCAGTCAGTTCAAATCATTTTAGCATAACAATTATGAACGTGTGGCTTGAAAATACTTGTTGTATACCACAATAGAGCGTTACCTCGAACATTCGATATATCCTACTTATAACACAACATATTTATTTAATCGTCAGTTTTCTGCGACTCGCCGAATAGGAGAAATATAACACTCGAGAATAAATAAATGTATTCTTCTCTTGTTAGAATTAAGCTATAACATCGGTAATCATACTTTCCAAGTTCACTAAGCGGATAATTAGTTTAACTTTAACTTATTTTTTACTTATATGTTTATTTATTAAATTTTTATTATTAAATTTTATTTATTTATTCTTATTTATAAAATATCAATTATGGTATTATTATATTAAATTTTATCATATCAAGCTTTACTTATATATTAATATAACAACTAATATATATTTGTGAAAAATCAGTTAAAATTTTATTGTAGTTTGTAAATTTCCAAAGCAATTCTTATTGTCAACCTTTGCGCTATATAACCATAGTTTAAAACTTTGTTATATTCAGGGAACAAGGAAATAGTATGTAGATTATATGGTATTTTCTATATCACTTGTTCGCTATATGAACTGTAGCTTATAAATGATTAGGTTGCAAATTTCTTCTTACTTAATCAACCTAGCATCAGTATTTTATAAAATTGTTATTATTGCTTAGTTTTGTATCTATTCTCTTTTTCTTTGTCTAATAAGCGGATCGTAATGTCGAAAGTGTTTATCCTGCGTACAGTAATAGGCAACGAATACTAGGAGTTGAAATAACAAATACGAAACATATGTCCATTTAGGTAAGATGCTCTGAACTTATATATCTGTCGTATTATTTTTCTTACATTAATATCAGCATTAAATTAGCAATATTATATAATACAATGATCGAATATTAAAACTTGTCGTCAACTAATATTTCGTTCTGATAACAACTAAATTATCCGTATAGGTACATATATGTCTTTGCAAAACAATAACAATAACATGGCATCTCTAATATTATTATTAATCTACATTTCAATGTGCGCCTCACAGAAGTTCATTGTTACCGATAATGATCAATATTTCAACATGGATAAAGAAAATTGCTGGTCTGTTTCACCTGATGATCGTCTACTGGTTAATATATCACGGCCAATTAGATATAGTATACATTTGACAATATATATGAATTATGATATAATCTTCGGCACATCTAACATCACAGTCATGGTTGAAAATCCAACTAGATACATAAGTTTACACGCTTACAAATTGCATATCACAAATTATAATTTGATAAGTCTAAAGAGTTTAAATACATTTGAATCGTACACATTGGTTGGTTACCGTTATTGCAAACGATCGCAGATTTTAGATATGCGATTTAATAAAACTATATCTGTTGGAATTTATATCTTAATGATCCACTTCGAAATTCCTAATTGTATCCGGACTGTTCTGAACACATACGAGTACAAGATTGGTAAAACAAAAGTTAGCACAATAAGGTAGGAATTTGCTTGAATTATTAACTATATAGTGTTATATATAATTGTTACACGCATAAACACTCTTTTCCATTGAACTTATTTAGTCCAAATATAACGCTGGTTATTTTAATTTATGTAGTTATCACCAGAAAAAGCCAGCAGTAAAACCGATTTATTCAATTTTCTTGTAAGCGATAAAATATTTGTCAGTAATTTTTATTTCGATATGTAAATCGATTATAAATGAATGAACCACTATTGAAAATAAGCGTTCACACACACATACACACACACACATAAATATATATACAGGTTGTCCTATTTTAAAGGATCCACTCAAATATCTCAGGAACACTGCGTTAAATCGAAAAATGCTTCAGACAAAAGTTATATGATTTCAAGGGGTACATAAAACAACTATATCAGTTTGTTTACAGATGGCACCATTTTCGAGATATTCACTGATCATTACTTTTCTTAAATGGAAGTCCCAATTTTTTATTATATTATCTTTCTTTAATAGTTAATTTGAACAACTTTTATCTGGAACATTTTTTTATTTGCCAAATATTTTTTGATATATTTAAGAGAAACTTGGTAATTGTTGCAATATTTAACCTACAATATCTTGCTAACTATGTGTCGGAAGAAAAACACTATTAAACTTTCTTACTCCATTTGATCTTAAGAATATATTGTTACAATAGCATCTTGATTTTGGTTAATTTGATGATTTTGAAATTTCCGAAAGTCGATACGTTAACAAAAGTTGGGGCACTATTGTAACAATATATTTTTGAGACCAAATAGAGCAAAAAAGTCTAAGACTGTTTTTTCTTCCGACAAATAACGAGATATCGTAGGTTAAATATTGAAAAAGTTACCAAGCTTTTCTTAAATATTTCAAAAAATATTAGGCAAATAAGAAAATGTTCCAGATAAAAGTTGTTCAAATTAACTAGTAGGAAAAGATGATATAATAAAAAAAAGATGATATGATAAATAATTGAAGCTTCCATTTAAGAAAAGTAATGATCAGTGAATATCTCGAAAGTGGCGCCATCTGTAAACAAACTAATATAGTTGTTTTATGTACCCCTTGAAACTATACAACTTTTGTCTGAAACATTTTTCGATTTATCGCAGTGTTTCTGAGATATTTGAGTGGATCCTTTAAAATGGGACACCCTGTATATACATATACATATATACAAGTTGCATTTGTATAGCAGTCCTTTTCTAAGTATACATATGAACTAAATAATAAATCGTACAATTTTGTGTAACTACATAACAAACCACAAACAATATTTATATCGAATTATATATAATTCATGTGAAATATTCATATAGATTACTTATATAACATGTATAACGCATATTTCCACGGCATTTACCTTATAAAACGGTATAAAATTTCACGTTTATAATGATATATCCTTAGGTTATTCATTACGAAATTTAACATGGCTCGAGGATTGTTCCCATGTTGGGACGAGCCCGCAATAAAGGCAATTTTCCAAATAACTATCACATATACTAAGAAGTACAGAATATTTTCTAACGTGGCTGAAAGAAACAAAGAAATGTGTACAAGTTTTTGCACATCACACTTTAATGAAACGCCGCCGATGTCCGCTTTCAACGTTTTCTTCGTTTTGCTTGAAGGCAACGTCAGAAGTAGTGAAATATCTCAAACCGACTTTATTTGGTACCTGCCGGGATATGAGATGCTACAAGATATAAAGAACACAATTTCACTTGTTGAATGGCAAGTGAAGCAGATTACGGGTTTGGACAAGACATTTCCAAGGAATGATTTTATATTATTCCCAAATAATACAATGAAAACAATGGGATATTTTGGCTTTATAATATACAAGTATATAATAATCGTAATTCAAATATTGTAGCATTTAAGCTGAAAACAAACCTGAATACCCAGCAAACACAATATTACATGTAACGTGCATATTAATTGTAATTTCCTACTCAACAATTTAACCGTTATATAACATATGTGTTATATAACAGTTATATTGTGTTATACAACATATGTGTTATATAACAGTTATATTGTTGAGTAGGAAATTACAACTAACATGCACGTTACATGTAATATTGTGTTTGCTGGGTACAATCAAGCTGACGATATCATAGATGAAAGAAAAACCTGATTTGATTAAGATTTAAGATATTAGTAGCAACACACAGAAATTGTTTCTCATCAGGCTGTATATCTAATAAGTTAAGACTAATCGTAACATTACTCTCTCGTTAACATTTTACTCTCTCGTTCAGTAATATAAATGAGTTACAACATATGTAACATATGATTGTAATAGTGTGGGATAGAAAACGATAAAATTGATGTAATGTTCTTATTGTTCTACACTTATTGAATTTCATTGTGCCAGAGACTTTAAATTTATACGCATATATTAGATGCGCAACTAAGTTTCCGGGTTTTTTGGATCAGTGAAAAATGGAAAATTTCAAGAAAAATACAAAAAATGGTTTATTCAAAGTGTCGTCCCTACACATCGTCGCTAGTTGCACATTTTTGCCATCTCTCTGGCAATATATAAATATCGCGACGATAAAACGACGCGTCTTTGGACCGAAACCATTCATCCAATCAATTTTGCACTTCTTCGAAATTAGCCAAGTGTTGCCCAGCCAAGCCATGCGCCATCGACCGGAACAAGTGATAATCGGAAGGGGCCAGGTCTGGCGAATACGGCGGGTATGGTAGCAGATCCCATTTCAGCGTTTCGATGGTGTCCTGGACGATGGAAGTGCAATGGCACGGAGCGCTGTCGTGCTGTAATATCACTCGTTCGTGTCTCGTGTCCCATTCTAGATGTTTTTCGAGCAATGCATGGTTCAAATTGATCAGTTGTTGTCGGTAGCGATGCCCATTGACAGTTTCGCCCTTCTTTTCAGCAGTTCATAGTACACGATTCCTTTCTGGTCCCACCAAACGTAGAGCATTGTCTTCTTTCCGAAGCGATTTGGCCGTGCCGTCGATGTTGATGCTTCGCCAGGTGAATGCCATGATTTTTTGCGTTTGGGATTCTCGAAATATATCCACTTCTCATCGCCAATAACAATTTGATGCAGGAAACTCATTCTTTCATGCCGCAAAAGCAAAATTTCGGAAATGGCTCTTCGATTTTCCATCTGTTTCTCAGTCAACTCATGCGGCACTCATTTTCCTTCCTTTTGAATTTTTCCCATGGCATGTAAACGTTTGGAAATACCTTGGCGAGTCATGTTTAATGCCTCCGCAAGTTGATCTTGTGTTTGCGTATCATCTTCATCCAATAACGCTTGCAGATCGGCGTCCTCAATTGTTTTTGGTCTTCCGGAGCGCTCCTTGTCCTCAGTGTCGAAATCGCAACTTTTGAAGCGTTTAAACCAATCTTCACAGGTAGTTTTCGATGATGCATGTTCGCCGTAGGCCTCCTCAAGCAAACGACGTGCTTCAGCTGCACTTTTTTTCAAGTTAAAGCAGAAAAACAAAGCTTCCCGCAAATGCTGTTTATTTGGCACAAAACTCGACATCTTCATTGTTAGAAAAAATATTTTCGCGTTGCGATATGTGTTGGTATTACAACTGGTTATTGTTAACAGATGTCCAAGTTATAAAAAAACACTTCAGCATGTATGTATCGACTACATGTGTCGTTAGCGCCAGCCATGTGCGAAACCCGGAAACTTAGTTGCGCACCTAGTATTAATGAAACGATAAAATTATGCGCACTTATATCGACATCACATGATCATATTAATTTACAATTTACAGAACAAAAGATATTTCATACAAACAAGATTTTGATTTTCCTGGCCGTAAAGATTACGTGAGCGAGGTAATTTCGTATCAAATAATACGTGAGATTTTTATAGGAATGGTTACCGAATCATGGTGGACCGACATGTGGTTAGGCGAATCACTTTCAAAGCTTTACAGTCATTATATCCTGGACAAGGTTATTATGAGTCTGTCAGCATTACTATCATACGCGTTACTTCTGAATTTAACGTCACATGATTGGGTGTCGTAAAATTTCTTAAACTCTTCTAAACGCTTTTCGATAACGTACAAACGTCACTATATATAGAATATAACTGTTACGTAACGTATAACTAATTCACAAAATAACAGATAGTCTGATTTTGCATGACTAATGTATATATCACTATTGTATAACACTATGTATACAATAGTTACTGGGAAATATATAATTTATATTTCAATTATATAACATTTCCCTGAGATCTCATAACTGTTAGATAACCTTTTAGTAATATAACGATCCTGCAATATTTTATTAGCATATTATATTTATGTTGCACAACTGCAATTTAATATGCTACATTTATTTATACTACAATAATATAACTGTTATATATTTGTGTTTGCTGGAGTATAACATTTGCGTAATATTAATTTGTGCATCTGTTTCCATACTTCACATTCATCTTACCACAATAATTATTTTTAGATTTCCGGCGATTCACAATTAACAGACCTCTATGCAAGCCAAATCATTCAGCAAACTTTCCACTTTGAAACTAACTGTCGCATGAAATCTCTTCGTGAATTCGATATACGGCTTTCGGATGAAATCGATATTGAGCTCTGTTCTCGTTGGTATTATAATAAAGGTATTATTAAAGTGTCCGACTAGAGCTTCAAAAAAATATTTAATTTAAATATTTTTGGGCGGAAATACCATATAAATTATGCTATTAAATCCTTATTCTATTTAACCTATATAAATTTGCCACTCATCATCGTAGTGTTTCATTGTAGGATATGCTCTTTTACGCATGATAGAACATATGATCACGCGGGCTGAGTTTCAACATGCTGTCAGAAAATATTTAGACAAATTGTAAGTAACATATTGTCATACTCTGCGCCGTTAGATATTGCTCCATCAATAGCTATATACAGGACAGAAGTAACACTTCAAACAGAAGTAGCATTTCACAATTTATATCTTCATTTACGGTTTCACTAATTAATTAAAGTTGAAAATGGATGCATTTAATAAACAAGTGTATTACATTGAATGTCGAATTTATTATCTAGAGGCAATGCATTTTCGTTAAAAGGCTCAACTTAACACGTGGTTAGGAGAAATGTGTTTATATAGCATTAATACTGCGATGTTTAAATATTATTGTCGACATGAAACATAAAAGCGCGCATAAACGCGCGCGCCCGCGAACACATGCACACACATATGAATTTCTCTTTTTATAGTAAATATCGTTCTGTCACCCTTAATGATTTCTGGACCATGTTACAACTTTTTTTTGATTTTGGAAAAGATAGTATATATATATATAAAGAGATGAGTATAGAGGATATTTTGGAGACGTGGTTAACTGAGAGATATTATCCTATCGTGGACGTCCTTCACGTTCCTCAGAAGAATGTATTGCTATATACTGTCACTAGAATTGACAGTACGATGCAATACACTTGGGAAATACCAATAACATGCGAAATATATGCTGAAGAGAATATGTATCGTTCTAACTGCAGTAATTTGATACTTAATGCTTTTGGAAATATTAAATTATTAGACAGTTTTGATTTTGTTCTATTTAATGTAAAACAGGCTGGTGAGTGTACAGCAGATAAGTTCGCGATATTATCATTTTATACAGTAATACAAATTTGAATTAATAAATATTTTTACTTAAACTAGCAATTTTTGGCAAATACAAACGTACCTAACTAACAAAAGCATTATAATGATTAATTTAATTTACAACAGGGTATTATCGTGTTAATTACGATGAAAGAACTTGGTTGCGAATCATAAAATTCTTAAACGGTGAAACATATCATGAAATGCATGCCCTCAATCGTGCGCGATTAATTGATGATGCATATTATCTTATGACAAATGGCTTCATAGTATCCCCTATATTTTGGCAAATCATAAAACATCTACAGTTTGACAAAAATTATATAGCCTGGTATACAATATTTAATATTCTATCCAACGTATGGCCCGTTTTGAATCATCCGAACACAATATATATGAAGGTAAACAATAGTGAATTGCGTCAAATAAATTAAATTGAGGTTGCGTAGTATAGTACATCGAGTATGAAAGAATATTATAGTACTGAAAATGGACTATTTGGAAAAAAATATTAAAAAATAAAATGTTTCCGATAGTAAATATATGTATGTAAATAAGTTCAGATAAATATCGTATGCATGTATTCGTAGTTAATATAAATATATATAAGATCAGTTCCTCATAAACAACGCGAGGCAGTACATTTAAAGTATAATGTTTTCGTATGAAACGTAATATTAATGTGGTATCCCTTGACATGACTTAGAACATTTTCATTGATATGTTGAACGGCATACTTCAAGAGCTGGAATTCGTAGAAAAAGATGATGACGACAATATGTCTAAAGCATTGAGACTATTAGCAGCAAGATGGGCTTGCAAGTTAGGACATATACAGTGTCGAGTAACTGCCATGTCAAGTTTGCTTTCCAATTTGACCGATCCTAAATTCAAGTAAATCTTTGCATCAAATAATTATCTTTTTAAACATGTTTCTTTATTATCTATGGCACCACGTGTTTGGTAAGTCACATAATGCGAATTAAAATTTCGCTTGATGCTTGATACTTTCCGTATATTCTAGATTTCAACCATGGTGGAAAGATTGGATATATTGTGCCGGTATGATGATGGGAACCGAAAGTATGTCGAATCGGCTGTTTGAAATATATAATAATACCAAAGATGTAAATTATAAGAAGTACCTCTGTTGCGCGGAAGATATAGAGATTCTTATGCAGAATGTAGCTAATTTATGGTCATTCACACCAACGCAAGACGAGCGGATGCACCTTAATCGCATTATTACCAAGAAACTTGGTGTTGTGGAATACATCATAGAGAATTATTTCGAAATACATCATTCTTGGTGATTTTTTTTTCTTATAAGTACTTACTGTTATTGATCACGAGAGTATATAGTGCTTTTATTAACGATTAGTATGATCATTTTTATTTGTAGGTGGAATGACACTTCTTTATACCTAAACTTAATAGGTGATATGATGATGAATGTATATTTTAACGATGATTTCGAGAAGGTATATATTTTCTATTTACTTTGCATAGCGTCTAACATTTTTAACGGATTCACATTTTATTTTCACACACATGCACAATATATGTGATCATTTTTTGTCAAAATTTTGTTAGAATAAAAATGAATTGGAGCTTTCTTATGAAATTATCAAAATGACCTGTTTCAGATTGTGAACTTTGCAGAACAATTGACCTATGTAAACGAATCACGTCTAATAATGTCAGAGATATTTATATTAAAACATGGTCAAAAGCAAAGAATTCGCAAAATGGAAGATACGTTTCAGTTACGAGCTTTGAATAATGAAGGAAACGTATAATTTCTCAACAAGTGGGTTTATAAGATGTGATTCAAGAATTCAAGTAACTAGTGGTCAAATTAAAAGCTATTATAACTTATGCAGTCAATTGAGACGTTTGTGTTTAAAATTGATTTATGTTTCTTTTTTATCATTGCATTTTCATTACATTTTCATTACATTTTACTATTACATTATTTTTACATGTCTTTGTTTATTTACATGTAATTGTACGCACGTTGTACAGGGTGTCGGAAATCTCTCTTCGAGGAATTTCTGAAGATATAGAGCGAATTCGCAATAATTATCGAGTTGTTAATTATAGAAGTCTGATGATCAAACACGCGTCGAGATGCTATTGAAGAAGCATTAGAGCCGTTCGGATTATAACGCGGTCCAGTCGATCAAGCAACTATTATCGGCGCGCGGCGAAGAAAAAAACAACGGGTCACTACTTGTGTCATCTCGCTGTTCCCACGTCTCGCAGCATCTGCAACAGTTGCTAGATTGGCTGGGCCGCATTATAGTTCGAACAACTGTAACTCCAACAGCATCTTGGCGCGCGCTTGTTCGTCAAATTTATATAATTAACAATTTGATAATTACTGCGAATATCGCAAAACAGTACTCGACTTTTTCTTCAACGTCTTTTTTCCTCGTACTCTTTTAAGTCTGCCATTAGATATAGTCATGAGTTATCAAACACCCTATATATAAAGTGTTACACAACGTATTGTTTGATCTCTTTCCTTTACAATATAATTCAATGATAAAATCTGATTACCATATCGTCAAGATACAGAATGCACCTTATACTTTCATACTAACTTGATATAATATATTAAAAAAATTATTTTACATAAAAATCACAAAAAGTGCAAATTATATATACAGGGTGTCCCATTTTAAATCTCCCAGGCAAATATCTCGTAAAATATGGAAGATACATAAAAATGTTTCAGACAGAAGTTGTATAGTTTTAAGAGGGACATAAAACAGTTATGTCAATTTGTTTACAGATGACACCACTTTCGAGATATTCACTAATCATTACTTTTCTTAAATGGAAATCCATATTTTTTATTGCACCATTTCTTTCTACTTATTAATTTGAATAATTTGTGTCTGAAACATTTTTTGGTAATTATTTAGAATAGGGGAGCCATCCCCGATTTCAATAATTCATACATATATTATTATTACTATCCTCCCTTAATAACATGCAACAAATTTTAGTTGTCGGTCGATGCTAATTAAAAAGTTATTAACAAGAAAGTGTAATGAATAATATTCCTGTATTGAAGTACTACGTGTCTTCTGTGGATATAATTGTACAATACTGTGCATAGAGATTTATTTACGTATTATATTCTTCGCTTGGTTTGTTTATTTACCTTTCTTGTACTGGTTATACATCGAAAGAAAAACACACGTCTACATGCTGAAGGAAATGGGTTTGCAACTTTCCACGCAAAACTAGGACGGACGGGGAGGGTGCGGGAGAGGGGCCGAAGGCCCCCTTTGTACTCCTCCGTGGGTGTGTGTGCGTGTACATATGATTGAGACATTTTCATTTATTAAACATATGAATTTTTAGCTCATGTATTAGTGGTTAGTTTTGTTGTGTAATAACCACTAATATATGTGCTAAAAATTCATATGTTTAATAAATGAAAGTAGTATTAAACATATGTACACACACACACACACACACACACGGGGGGTACAAGGGGGGCCTTCGGCCCCCCTCCCGCACCCTCCCGTCCGTCCTAATTTTGCATGGAAAGTTGCAAACTCATGCGGAATCTAGATTCGCATTAAAAATTTCATTTATCTATAACTTTTTAATAAACAATGAGCGACGGCTAAAACCTACAATAGATTGCTCAATAATATTTATAGAATATTTTGACAACGTGGGCATTTTACTTTCTTACGAATAACATTTTTTTAACACAAATATTTCAACATTTCATTATAATTTGTTGTTAAAGCGAGAAACTCATAGAATTTCATTTTCCAGCTCACTATATAAATTTACTACTACTCTTTCGACAGTCTATCTTGTACTAGCTCAGCACTTGAATTTCCTTCAGTATGTAGACATCTTTTTCTTTCGATGTATAACCACTATAAGAAAGGTAAATAAACAAACCAAGCGAAGAATATAATACGTAAGTAAATCTCTATGCACAGTATTGCACAATTATATCCACAGAAGACACGTAGTATTTCAATATGTGAATATTATTCATTACACTTTTTTGTTGATAACTTTTTAATTAGCATCGACCGACAACTAAAATTTGTTGCATGTTATTAAAGGAGAATAGTAATAATAATATATATGAAAATTATTGAAATCGGGAGTGGCTCCCCTATTCTAAATAATTACCCATTTTTTTATTTACTTAATATCTTTTGAGATATTTAAAGAAAACTTGGTAATTTTTTCAATATTTAACCTACGATATCTCGCTAACTATTTGTCGGAAGAAAAAATAGTACTAGACTGTTTTACTTCATCTGATCTCAAGAATATATTGTTACAATAGTGTCCCAACTTTTGTTAACTCATCGACTTTTGGAAATTTCAAAATCATCAAGTTAACAAAAATCAAGATGCTATTGTAACAATATATTCTTGAGACAAAATAGAGTAAAAAAGTCTTATACCATTTTTTCTCTCGACAATAAATTAGCGAAATATCGCAAGATAAATATTGAAAACGTTACCAAGTTTTCCTTAAATATTTCAAAAAATATTAGGCAAGTAAGAAAATATTTCAGACAAAAGTTGTTCAAATTAATTGATAGAAAAAGATGATATAATAAAAAATTGGGAGTTCCATTTAGAAAAAGTAACGATTAGTGAAGATATCGAAAGTGGCATTATCTGTAAACAGACTGATATAATTGTTTTATGTCCTCCTTGAAATCATGCAATTTTTGTTTGAAATATTTTTCCGTATCTTCCATATTTTTCGAGATATTTACCTGAGGAATTTAAAATGGGACACCCTGTACATATAATATTCATAATTATATATATATATTTTCTCATTTTAATTTTCCATTAAACCATCAATTCCTGATTTTTCCATTTTCAAACCTTTTTGGATTTTGACGATAAATATACCCGATGCATTCTAAATATTAAATGCAATCTTCTAACTCTTAATCTGTGAAAAGAGTTTTCATATATGTTTTCCGTTATCTTTAAAGAACTTTAAATAACTATTTCTCTTCAACCTCTTTATAATTCCTCAAGATAAGAGTTTTTTATACAGAGAGAATTTTATAGTAAATATTACTAGAGAATTTTGTGGTTAAAGGGCATATCGACATTCTGTCTTAATTTACTACCCTTCCAATAGAATTGGAAAAATTTTGGGAAATTGATTAAATATTGAAAACATTTATTATATATGTTCCTAAGCGAGATAAATTCTGTTGGCAATCCGTTGTTACATTACTATATAAGAAGTATTATAAAATTTACAAAAATTTCACATAAAAAGAAAACTGTAATATTCTTTGTGTATAACTATCGTTTGAGAACATATGCCCTTAAATTGTAAACATTTTGAATGTAATTTCTTTTGTAAAAAGGGACATGAATTTTACGAACTAGGAAAAAATCTATAGAAGATCTCGCCAAATTTATTACAGTCTATTTCATAATCTTTCGCGTTGGCGCCATTTACCTTTGATCCCCAGTCGTTTGATCGCAAAGTTTGATATTTACCACTGCTATTAAAGTCTTCAAATAGATTGCGCGTTTGCAAACTGCAGGGTAACCGCGCCTCTGTTAGAGAACTCGCATCCGCAGGTATACCTATTTCACCTAGATAGGCAGGATTATGTACAGCGAAACGCGTCGACAGCCGAGTCACATGCAAACCGAATAACCAAGAGTCAATATTTAGCCGGCCATTAAACGAATAATCCATCTAAAGCGCTCTGAGGGACAGAGAAGCGATGGGAAAAATCAAACCCATGTATGGACTTTAAACATGCGGCTCATCCCGAAAATACTGATTTCTCTTACGGAGGTCGATTGGCCGTTCCGGAGGCAAGCTCAAATAAAAGTGATCGTAAACCTTGCAATTTTGATGTTTTTTTTTTCGACGAACCTCGAAAAAATGATAAAAATTATGCTTAATGTTTTTGTAAAATGTAAACAACTTAGTATTCAATATTATTACATATTACTTTGGACAAAATAAATTATACACTCTTAAAAGCAACAGTTAACAAACAAATAAAGTTAATTCTAATGGTGCTTAGTACTTGGTGCGGCCGCCTTTAGCTTTCAATATTGCTTCTAGTCGGCGCGACATACCATACTCTCGACTAATTTTTTTAAGTATTCAGGATCAATTTTCTCTTAGGCCTTCTGGAGTGTTACGATAGCACGATATCTTGTCAATTACATTCGTTTTATCCACGTCCCCGTTCAAATAAGCCCATAGATTTCCAATGAGGTTTAAATTGTCTGATGATTGTCTAAACGGACGATTATGACGGCCATTCGAGCAGTTTTATTTTATTAGAATTGAAAAAGGCAGTGATTTTTTTCACCTTATGCTTAAGGTCATTGTCTTGCTGAAAGACAAAGTTGTTTTCTCAACCTAATTTTATAACAGGCTTTTCCAAATTCTCACACAATATATCGGTATATTTTTTTCTGCTATCAGTGCTTTTAATTTGAGTCAAATTACCGATGCTAGATCATGCAAAACATCCTTATATCATGATACTACCGCTTCCATGTTTTACGGTTTTCTGAATATTTACTTTCTTGACACCAAGTTTTCGCTCTAGATCGCTGTTTTTGTTCACATAATTCAAACTTACTCTCAACAAACAAACTCTTCTCTAACCACAATATTTTGTTTCCGAAAGTCCAGAATCATTTTCGCGTACTTCTTGACAAATTCGAATCGCTTTTTCTTATATATTTTATTGATAAAAGAACGCTTTGACGCTTTTCAATCTAGTTTCCCTAAGCCTGCTAAGTGCGACTGCTGACAACCAGGTTCATCAATTCCGCAATATTTCGTGATGATAGTCTTGACCCAAGTAATTAAATTTTTAAAACGGCTACGATAACGTTGTCACAACTCAAACCGCAGCATTTTTGTCCAGCACAGTTACTGCCACAACGTTATTATAACGTTTTGACAACGTTCTACCAGTAAAAGTGGGACAACATTTTTAAGCTTTGAAAATGTTGTTGCAGCTATTTGGCTGCACAGCTATTTTGCTGTAAAGAAGTTAATGACAGCCTATTTGCAGCAAAACAGCTGCAAAGAGCAACCGAATAGCTGCAACAATATTTTCAAAGCTTAAAATGTTGTCCCATTTTTGCTGGTACAACGTTGTCAAGATGTTATAATGATGTTGTGACAGTAATAACGTTGTATATATAGCTGCGCAGCTATCTTGCTGTAAAGAGGTTATCATAGCCATTTCAAATAACATATGAAGCTTTAAAACGGTTGCGATAACATTGTCGCAACTTAAATGGCAGCATTTTTGTCTAAAGCATCTACTGCCACAACGTCATTATGATGTTTTGACAACATTGTAGGAGCTACATTATAATAATGATAATCGAAAGAAAGATAAAAGTAACTAATAAACGGAGAACGTTTTTTTTAATACGTAAATTAATATCTAATAAATTTAAATTTTTTAATTTATTTAAATTTTAAAATATTAAAAAAATTTTTATTCAACTAGAATTGAACCTGTGACCGTTCAGAATCATTGCTACAATAAACTAGGATTAAATTTCGAGATTAACTAATCATTGCACATTGTTACACTTTATGACATACAAATATACTAGCGCGAACGCAAACTTATAAGTATACTGATTATAGAACTACACGCAGATCTTTTAGTAATAATTTTAGAGCCGCATAGACTTAGGTCCGCTTGACCAACACTGATACACGTTAAGCTTAATGTAAAATTGATAGTCATATTACGTCGTTGTAGCTGTAACATACAAATTACAGCAAGATGATAGCTATTTTGGCTGTTTCTAGCTTCATTCGATGGACATACGCGGTCACGACTCATGGTGCATGTGGGTAATAATTTTCCACGTAGTGCACATATACATACTCCGATTATGATATAACCTAAGAAACAGAGTTGATAAGTGCTGTGTAATGAAGGAAAAAAATTTAAGATGTTCTTAATAATAAGAACGATTGAGGATGGCGAAATTAATTTATATGTTGTGCTCGAGAGTTGAGAGAAAAATAGCGTTTTATTTTGGCCACCAGGCCAAGGGAAGGGATTGAACCTTCGCAAAAATGATAAAATTTTGCCAGACTTTAATAATTAGTCTAAACAAAAGTATACGGTGAAGAGGAGGAATTGTACAACATTTCAAGTTGCTATTAAAGCTGAAAAATATTTGAGTCAGTTTGATGATACTGAAGACGAGCGAAAGTAAGTAGCAAAATGCCTAAAGAAAATTCTGGCTTTTCTAGAAGCTGGTACAACTACTTTACAGCAATTAATACAGCTACAATAGTTGCGGCTGTATTTTGACTTTTTTATTAACTATCACAACTACTTTACAACTATTGATACAGCTAAAATAGATGGGGTTGCATTTAGACTTTTTCATTAGTCATCGCAACGTTTTTACAGTTAAAAATCGAAACAGCTTTTATTACCAAATAGCTGTAATTAAGGTTGGTAGGTCGTTATTCCAGCCACAGTTTTGCTGTTACAGCGAATATTGCCAGACTGTGTTACTTGGGGAATTTTGTCTTACCATTTAAATGATTCTGGATCTACCATCATGAAAAGTTGTAACCCGCTTTCGGCTTTTACCGGAACAATTTGCCACAATTCTATGTGTTTCATATTTTTTTTTCAGATATACTGCATTGCTCCAATAGAAATTGAATATTTATTAGCAATTATCCTAAAAGATTCTGTCAGTTGCTAATGATTAAATTTCGAATATCAGGAGAAATTTGCTTTGCTTTCGTGATATCGTTCTTGTTTGTCACAGCTACTATTGGCTCCAAACATACAAATTCTAACCGTAGATATAATATACACAAATGTTATAGTATGCAAATGTATGATTTATTTTATCCAAAGCGAAATATAACAACACTGAATAATAAATGTTTAACAAAAGAATCAAGCGTTATTTTTATTGTTTCATATATTCATCATTTAAAATGCTTTGATTTTTCTGCATCTAATAATTCATTTGCTTGTTAAAAAAATAGTTATTCTAACAAATTTAATTTGTTGAAAGGTATATGATTTATTTCGTTCAGCACTGTAAATTCAAATTTTAAAAAACTAATATATAAAGATGTAAACGAAAGTAGAGCAACGTAAATCGCGCCTTGTAAAATGGAATCATTTATACGAATACTGTTGAAGAAAAGTTCTGGCACAAGATTACTTGGAACTGAATATTTATAGGTATATTATACAAGACGATTCGAAGTAGGTATGTATAGGTATGTATATATATCCAGTTAGATAAAAGATATTGAACTTATATCCGTCATATTATCTTTTTACATTAATATTAACATTAAATAATAATATTAGATAATATAATAATCGAATATTAAAACTTATCATTAACTAATATTTCGTTCTGTTAAAATTCGTTCTCGTTCATAAATTCCCTGTGTAGATAAATATATATCTTTGTGAATCATTTACATGGAATATTTATATGGAATCTGTAATACTATTCTTGAGTATTACAATATGCGTCTTTTCTTTTTGCCGACCAAAATTTTTGTTCTCGATAATATTTAACTAGACAATATTCCTGTCAATATTTAAATAGACAAGACTGCTGAGATGTTTTCTATAGTAATCGTTTACTAGTAATAAATCATGGCCAATTAGATATACTATAAATTTTCAAATCCAGTTTATATTTCCACTCAGAATATAATTAATATTATAGTCATTGTTGAGACACCAACTAGAGACACAAGTTTGTACGCTTATGAATTATGTATTCTCAAAAAACGGATAACTTTAAAGGATGTAGATATTTCCTCGTTTGAATCGTACTTGGCTACTGCTATTGCAAACGACCGCAGATTTCGGATTTGTGGTTTAATAAAATTATACCTACCGAAGCTTAAAACTCAACAATCCACCCTAACGTTGTTTATTCTCCTTGGAAAGGAGTATTATAATTATCATTACTGAAAATTTCGTTAATTGTAATATTTTTGCATATTTATTTTCCTATAATTTTTGCGTTTCACATGAGACATTCGTCTGATATAAAGAATTAGTTCCTAGCGATCGTATAATTTAAAGGCGTTGCTTGTCATTCCAGGAAAGGTGTAGTTATCAGTAGGCGAAGATTTCGTTGATAGTGATATTTTAGTATATTTATTTTATCCTGTGATAATTTACGCATTTTATATGAGGAACTCGTCTGATATAAAATATTGGATCCTAGCAGTCATGTAATTTAACAAATAATATATAATTTATCATATTATTATTATATATCAGGCTAATTTAAATGTTAGTCCAAGTCGCTCTAGTACAACGATCATGATCTTGGGCTTGAAAATACTTGTATACAATAATAGAGACTTGTATACAATTAACTCGAATATCCGATTTGTCATAGTTATAATAACAAAACAAATTTCTTTAATCGCCAGTTTGCTGTAATCTGCCGAATAAGAAAGGTATAGCAATCGAGAATAAATAGATATATTCTTCCGTTGTTATAGGTAAACTCAGTATAACATTGATAATCATACATATTTTCCAAGTTCATCGAGAGGATAATTAGTTTAACTTTAACTTATTTTACCTATATGTTTATTTATTAAATTTTAATTATTAAATTTTATTTATTTATTCTTATATATATATAATATCAATTTTGATATTATTATATTAAGTTTTATCATATCAAACTTTATTTATATATTAATATAATAACAACTAATATGTTTGTGAAAAATCGATTAAAATTTTGTTGTAATTTGTAAATTTTCAAAGCAATTCTTATTGTCAACCTTTGCGCTCTCTATGTGACCATAGTTTATAATTTCATTACATTCAGGGAACTTTCAAGAAAATAGTATGTAGATTATATGGTACTTTCTATATCATTTGTTCTCTATATGAATTATATATAGCTTATAAGTTACTAGTTTGTACATTTCTTTCGTATTTAATCAACCTAGCGCCAATATGTTATAAAACTATTATTATTGCTTGGTTTTATATCTATTTTCTTTTTTTTTTGTTTAGTAAGTGGATTGCAATGTCGAAAGTTTTTGTTCTGCGTACAGTAATAGGCGACGAATACTAAAGGCTGAAATAACAAATACGGAACATATGTCCATTTAGGAGTAAGAAACTCTAAACTTATATATCTGTTGTATTATTCTTCTTACATTAATATCAGCATTAAGTAGCAATATTATATAATACAATAGTCAAATATTGAAACTTGTTATTAACTAATATTTCGTTCTGCTAACAACTAAACTACCCATGTAGGTACATATATATCTTTGCGAAACAATAATATGGAATCTCTAATATTATTATTAATTTACATTTCGATGAGCGCTGCGTTACAACCGTATTTTGTTACCGATCATGATCAATATTTGAATACGGACAGTGAAAATTGCTGGGTTGTTTCACTTGATGATCGTTTACTGATTAATAAAGTACAGCCAATTAAATATACCATAAGTTTCGCAGTATATCCAAATAATGATCTATTCTCTGGTATATCTGATATTAAGATCATGGTTGAAAATCCAACTAGAGAGATAAGTTTGCACGCTTACGAATTGCGTATCATGAATGGTTCGATAATTCTAAAGAATTTTAATACATCCTCATTTGAATCGTACATATTCCTTGGTTACCGTTATTGCAAACGATCGCAGATTTTAGATTTGCAATTTGATAAAACTATACCTGCTGGAATTTATCTCTTAACAATCCAGTTTGACATTATTTTTTCTATGCAAAAGGTTATAAAGAAATACGAATACAAGAATGGTGGAACAAATCTTAACAGAACAGAGTAAGAATTTACATGAATCATTAATTATATTGCTAACTGTTACAGATAAACATTTTTTTTTATTGAACTTATTTGGTCCAAATGTCACACTAGTTATTTTAGTTTTTGTAGTTATCATGAGAGGGAAAGTCAATAGAAAAACTGATTAATTCAACAGTTTTTGTAAACGATAAAATATTTGTCAATAATTTTTACTTGGATATGTAAGTTAATTATAAATGACTATTACTGAGAAAATAAGCATTTATATAATTTACATTCTTTCGTATAGTAGTGCATTCTCTCGTATAATAGTGTTTTTTAGTACTGACATATAGATAAACTAAATCTTGTACGATTTTGTCCGATTATATGATAAATTATAAACAATATTTATATCAAATTATATTACGAGGTTGAATTAATTCTAGTCCCTAGCACTAGATGGTTTTAGTAACAAGTTAATGATTAGTACGAATGTTGAAATCTTGCAACACTGAAAAATTTGACATTACTCTATAACACATGACATTTTACGCGCTATTGTTACTGATAGTTTCATTGTTTATACGCGTCTAAAATGGATCATACGAAATTACATTTTCCATATTCATTATTTTCCTTTTGTTTAATTTGAAAAAATCGGCAACTGAATCTCTAAAATGTTTGTTACTATTTATGGTATTACGATCAGTTCCAACTATAAATTTTGGTTTCAACGATTCAAAAATGGTAATTTCTATTTGACTGACAACGTACCAGTCAATAAAAAGTTCGAAAATTCTGAATTGCAAGCATTATTAAATGAAAACACCGCTCAAATGGAAAATTGACTAAACAGCTCAATGTTAATAAATCAACAATTTCTAAATATCTATACGCTATAGAAAAAATTCAAAAGGAAGACAAATGGATTTCACATGAAATTGAGTAAAAGTGCCATTGAAGATCGTTTGAATATTGCCATGTCTTTGCTTGCCAGACAAAAGAAAAGAGTTTTTTGTGACGAATTGTAACTGGAGATGAAAAGTGGGTTTATTTTGATAATCCAAAGCGAAAAAAATCATAGGTTGACCCAAAATAACTATCAACATCGACGGAGCAAAACGGAACATTTACGGTCACAAATCAATGCTCTATATTTGGTGGAATATGGAAGATATAGTGTACTATGAGCTTCTAAAACCAAATGAAACAGTTACGGGGAAGCAATACTAGCAACAATTGAATAAATTGAATGATGAATCGATGCAAAAAAAGCCAGTGATAGCCAGACGCAAAGTGATTCTTTTGCACAATAATGCTCGTCCATATGTTGCTTCAATCGTTAAACATTGTTAAGGCTCGAATAGAAAATCTTTCCGCACCCAGCTCCAGACCTAGCACTATCTAATTCGCACCATCTATTCCGACCGATGCGACACGCTTTGACAGATATACACTTCAATAATTACGAGGATGTGCAAAAGTGGGTGATTAGATTAGATTGCTTCGAAAGGCAGATCGTTCTATCGTCTATCGGATGTATGTTGCCAGAAAGATGGGAAAAAGTTACAGCTAACGACAGAAAATATTTTGATTGATGTAAATTTAACCATTTCTTTAAAGTAAAGATAAGAAATTGTCAAAATAAGACCAGAATTAATTCAATCTCCTAATATATATATATATATATAATTCATATGGAATATTCATTTAGATTATATATAAATATATTTGCGGCTTTTAGATTATAGGATGGTAAAAATTTTATGTTTAATAATAATATGTTCTTATGATAGGTTATACATCACGCAACTTAACAAGGCTCGGAGATTGTTTCCATGTTGGGATGAGCCCGGAATAAAGGCAATTTTCGAAATAAGTGCTTCGTATCCTAAGCAGTACAAACTTTTTTCAAATATGCCTATAATAGTCGAAGATATCTGCGACTCAATGTCTTGCACATCATATTTTAACGAAACACCTCCGATATCTCCTTCCAACGTTCTGTTTGCTCTGCTTGAAAATAACGTTAAAAATAGTGAAATATTTCCAAACGACTTCATTTGGCACCTGTCAGAAAATGAAACGCTACAAGATATGATAAATACAATCGCAATTGTCAATTGGCAATTGATATATATTACGAGCTTTTCCAATATATTCCAGAAGATAGATCGCATATTATTCCCAAATCATGCAATAAAATCAATAGGATGTCCAGGCCTTATGATATACAGGTATATAATACACATAATTTAAGTGTTGTAGCATTGAAGCTCAAAAGAAGTCTGAGTACAATCAATCCAGCGATATCCTAGTGACGATATCATCTAGCCAACGATATCACAATTGGAAGAAAAAAACCTATTCTACGATTAAGCTAGAAATTGGTAACAACGCACAGAAATTTGTTCTCAACAGGCTGTGTATCTAATAAGTGAAGACTAACATTACACCAATATTTTATTCTTCCGCTCAGTAACATAAATATATTACAACATGTATTACAATATGTAGCACATGATTGTTATATTGTGGGATAGAAAACGATAAAATTGATGTCGTGTTCTTATTGTTCTTATTCGGTTTCTTGTGTCAGAGATTTTAAATTAACTTTATACGCTTATATAATTAATAAAACAATAAAATTATGCACACTCATATTGACACCACATAGTCATATTAATTCACAATTTACAGAGAAGAAGATGTTCTGTATAAACGAGATATTGATTTTCCTGGACGCAAACTTTATATGAGCGAGATCATTTCACACCAAGTGACACGTGAGCTGTTTATAGGAATGGTTACAGGATCTTGGTGGACCGACCTGTGGTTAGGCGAATCACTTTCGAAGCTTTACAGTCATTATATCTTGGACAAGGTTATTATACGCCTGTCATCATTACATACATTATCATACGAGTTACTTCTGAATTTGAAGACACAATTGATGTCGTAAAATTTCTTAGATTCTTCTAAACGCTTTTTGATAACGTATAAACATTATTAAATATAGAACATAACTGTTACTTAATGTATAACTAACTCACATAACATAACAGATAGTCTGATTTTATGTGTATAGCAGATATATGTGTTATATATATATATATATATATATACACACCCTCAGACATCTCAATGCACATCAATAGGCCCTGAGAAATGTATACTTTATATTTCAATTATGCAATATTTCCCTGCGGCCTCATAACAGATTTATAATCTTTCAGTAATATACCGATCCTGCAATATTTTATTAACGTATTACATTTATGTTACATAACTGCAATTTTATATGAGTAGGAAATTATTTTATATCAAATGTATTGTAACTTATATATTTACTTGGATGTAACTGTTACATACACTGCTCAAAAGAATTATGGCATAGATAATTTATTGCCGAAAATTGGCCAACTTTGACTGGCGATTACTTCGCGAAAAATGATTGTAGACTAATAATTTTTTTTTCAAAATGAAGTTAAAGTCTTTTTAAGAATGCATCTCCATTTTTTGCATGCGATGGACCTCTACCCCTGTAATCCCTGATATCTGAGGGCATATTTGGTATACTGAAAATTGTAAAATTTGACGGAATGTACGGACGTGGACAATTTTTTTCGGGAACGACGTTTGCATCGTCATAAAGTTAAAATCATCCCTTTCAATTTGAAAAAAATGGAGTCGCTACAATTTTTTTTCGCAAAGTTACAGCCCTTTAAAAATATCGTTGTGGAGGAAACACGAGATATTGAAGACGCACCTACACGCACACACACACACACACACGCGAGCGCGCACCTACGTGCACAAAAGGGAGGGTTTGGAATCAATAATTACTGTGGAAGTGACGAACTACGGGGTTCTTATTTCTTCTGTCACAGATACACACACATATGCGTGCACACTTGGCCCGAAGGCCAAATATAACGATATTTTTGAAGGGCTTTGCGAAAAAAATTGTAGCGACTCCATTTTTTTCAAATTGAAGGGGAAGATTTTAACTTTATGACGATGCAAACGGCGTTCCCGGAAAAAAAATTGTCCATGTCCATGCATTCCGTCAAATTTTGCAATTTTCAATATACCAAATATGCCCTTAGATGTCAGGGGTAGGGGTCCATCGCATGCAAAAAATGGAGATACATTCTTAAAGTAGAGACTTCAAGCTTCATTTTGAAAAAGAAAATAATTAGTCTATAATAATTTTTCGCGAAGTAATCGCCAGTCAAAGTTGGCCAATTTTCGGCAATAAATGATCTATGCCATAATTCTTTTGAGCAGTGTATTTGTATTTGCTAGAGTGTGATATTTACGTAATATTAATTTATGCATCTGTTTCCATATTTCACATTTGTTTTACCGCAATAATAATTTCTAGATTTCCGGCGATTCACAATTGATGGAACTCTATGCAAGCCAAATTCTTCAGCAAACTCCTCACTTTGAAATTAATTGTTACATGAAATCTCTTTCTGAATATAATATGTTAGATGCGGATAAAATTGACATTGATCTCTGTTCTCGTTGGTACTATAATAAAGGTGAGTGTTTGACTAGAAATTTAAAAAGTATTTAAATGTTATTAAACGGCAATACTATATAAATTGTACTATTTAATTCTTATTTTATTTAAACTACATAAATTTGTCACTTTTTATGAATATGTTTCGTTACAGGATATGCTCTTTTATATATGATAGAGCACATAGTCACGCGGGATAAATTTCAATATGCTGTTAGAAAATATTTAAATAAATTGTAAGTAACATATTGTAATATACTTTTCGCCGTTAGATGTTGCTTTATAGATAGCTATCTATAGATAGCTAGGATAGCTATAGATAGCAGGACAGAAGTGATATATTTCAAAGTTTATATGTTCATTAACATTTTTGTTAATTAACTGAAGTTAAAATGGGTGCATTTATTATATAGATTTATTATAGTGCTTTTCAGATATGTTATATAGAATTAATATATTTACGTTAAAAAGTTCAATTTAACATCTAGTTAAGTAACAATGTGTTTAGCATTTATATTGCGAAATTCACATATTACTAACGACATAAAACACGTACACGTGCGTGCGCGCCCGCGCGCACACAGACACGCGCAGGTTGAATTTCTTTCTTTATAGATCATCTTTCTAGATTATATTTCTTTCTTTATATTATTTCTTCATAGCATATTTCGTTCTGCCACTCTTAACGATTTCTGGTCTACCTTACAACTTGTGTTTGATAATGGAACTTATCAAGAGATTAGAATAGAAGAAATTATGGATACGTGGTTAACTAATAGATATTATCCTATTGTGCAAATCTTCCACGATCATCACAAGAATTTATTGACATATATTATCACAGGAAGTGACAATATGATGCCATCCATTTGGAAAGTACCAATAACATACGAAACATATTCAAACTCCGCGCGTCATTCTAACTCCAGTAATATTTTGATAATTAATTCTTCAACTGGAAATATTGTAGTGGATAAGAATATTACTTTTGCTATATTTAATATAAAACATCATGGTAAGTGTATACCAGATAAGTTCAAATATATCAGATAAGCGATGCTTTGCGTAAAACAACTTTGAATTAATATATTTTTTTTAGTTTATCTATAGCAATTTTTGGTAAATACAAACGTGACAATAATAAAAACATTATAATAATTCTTTAATTTATAAACAGGATATTACCGTGTTAATTACGATAAAGGAACTTGGTTGCGAATCGCAACTTTTTTAAACCGTGGAACACATGAAATATATGCCCTCAACCGTGCGCAATTAATTGATGACGCGTATTATTTTATGACACAAGGCTATTTATTATCGTCTATATTTTGGAAAATCGTAAAACACCTACAGTTCGACAAAAATTATATAGTCTGGTACCCAATGTTTAATATTCTATCGAACATGTGGCCCGTTTTGAATCATCCGAACGCAGAGTATATGAAGGTAAGCAATATTGAATTGCATTAAATAAGTTAAATAAAGGGGGGTTGTGTAGTATACTATACATCGAGTATGAAAGAGTATTTTAGTACTGAAAATGGATTATTTTGGAAAAAAGTATCAAAAAATAAAACATTTCTGATAATAATTATATGTATGTAAGCTCAAATACATATCGTATACATATATTCATAGTTATAAATGCATGTAAGATCAGTCCCCCACAAACAACGTGAAGTAGTATATTTAAAGCATAATGTTTTCATATAAAACGTAATATTAATGTGGTATCAATCTCTTGACGTGACTTAGACAAACGTACTTGAAATGTTGAACGGCATACTTCAAGAGTTGGAATTCAAAGAAAAAGATGAAAAGGACAATATGTCTAAAGCATTGAGACTGTTAGCAGCAAGATGGGCTTGCAAGTTAGGGCATATAAAGTGTCGAATGGCTGCTACGTCGGATTTGTTTCTCAGTTTTACCGATCCTGTTAAAAACAAGTAAATCTTTGTACCGAATAATAATATTTTTAAACATGTTTCTCTATTATCTGTTGCACTACGTGTTTGATAAGTCACGTGATCCGAATAGAAATTTCGCTTGATACTTTCCGTATATCATAGATTTCCAGCATGGTGGAAGGATTGGATATATTGCGCCGGTATGATGTTAGGAAACGAAGATTTATCGCAGCGGCTGTTTGAAAAATATAAAAATACTACAGATGTAAACTATATGAAGTATCTCTGTTGCGCGGAAGATATAGAGGTTCTCATGAAAAATATGGCTGATTTGTTGTCACTCACACCAACGCAAGACAAGCGGCTAAAACTTTATCGTATTATTACAAAGAAACCTCATGTTGTGAAACACATTATGGAGAATTATTTGAAAATAGATCATTCTTGGTGATTTTCTTTTTTTTTCTTATAAGTACTTTCTGTTGTGGATTACGAGAATATATAGTGCTTTTATTAACGATTGATGGCTTTTATTTGTAGGTGGAATGACACTTCTTTATACTTAGACTTATTAGGTGATATAATAATGAATATATATTTAGATGATGATTTCGAGAAGGTATGTATTTTCTATTTACTTTGTATAGCTCCTAACATTTTTAACGGTTTTACATTTTATTTATACACATACAATATATATGATAATTTATTTTTCGTCAAAGTTAGAAATTATGAATAAAAATGAATCGGAGCTGTTTTAGAAAATTACCAAAACTATCTGTTTCAGATTATAAGTTTTGCACAAAATTTGGCCCACCTGTCATATCTAAACATGAATAACATATCTGTAATAAATCAAGCTCAAGAGCAAAGAATTCGCAGAATGGAAAATATGTTTCAGATTTCAGTTTCGATGAATAACGAAGAAAACGTATAGTTTCTCAATAAACATATTTACAAGATGTGATAGAATTCAAATAACCAGTCGAACTAAAGACTATTGCAACTTGCGCATTAAATTGAGATATCTGTGTTTAAAATTGTATGTTCTTTTTTAGTATTGCAGTTTCATTATATGTTATTATTACATTATATTTTACATTTCTTTGTTTATTTATTTATTTGTTATTTATATGTATTTGTACGTATGCACATTATACATGGTGTTTTAGAACTCTCTTCAAGAAATACGTGGAGACATACAGCGAATTGAGATAAATCTAAATTTCCTTTTCCTTATTTTACGATGTTCACAATAATTATCAAGATATTAATTATAAAAATCTGACGAATAAGCGCGCGCCTGCAACAGTTGCTACATCGACTGGGTCGATCGACTGTTATAGCTCGAGCGGCTGTGGCTCCTCCAATATCATCTAGATGCGAGCTTATTCGTCAAATTTATATAATTAACAGTTTAATAATTATTGCGTATATCGCAAAACGATATTCAACTTCTTTATATTCTCTATTTTTTTATTCTTTTCTCAATCAGCTTTACGCCTCCGTTAGCTACAACCACTTGAGTTATCAAAACATCAAGCCTGTATATAAGTGTCACCAAACGTATTATTTTACCTCTTTCCTTTAGAATATAATTCATGATAAAATCTGATTACCGTATCGGCAATATATAAAATATGTCCTATATTTTCATAATAATTCGATATAATATATTAAAAATATTATTCCACATAAAAATTACAAAGAAGTGCAAATTATATACAGGATGTCCCATTTTAATGTCCCACCTTAAATAACTCTTCAGTATTGAAGTTTCAAGGAAAATGATCTGAGTAAAAGTTGTAGGGATTTAAGTGAGCTACCTTATGATGACCTTGACTTTGACCTTGACCTCTATTTTCAAAGTCATTTGAAGATTAACTTGCGTTTTTTAAACGGGAATCCTTATTTTTTATTACGCTGTTTTTTTTCTACTAGTTAATTTGAACAACTTTTGTCTAAAATTTTTTTATTTGTCTAATATTTTTTGAAATATTTGAGGGAAACTTGATAACTTTTTCAATATTGAACTCACGATATCTCGCTAACTATTTGTCGGAAGAAAAAGTGGTATTAGACTTTCTTGCTTTATTTAGTCTCAAGAATATATTGTTACAATAGCGCCTTGACTTTTGTTAACTCACTGATTTTTCTGTATTGATTCTAGTACCACTTTTTCTTCCGACAAATAATTAGCGAGATATCGTAAGTTAAATATTGAAAAAGTTATCAAGTTTTTCTCAAATATCTCAAAAAATATTAAACAAATAAAAAATATTTTAGACAGAAGTTGTTCAAATTAACTAAAGTAGAAAAAACGGTGTAATAAAAAATAAGGATTCACATTTAAAAAGTGCAAGTTGACCTTCAAATGACCTTGAAAATAGAGGTCAAGGTCAAAGGTCATCATAAGATAGCTCACTTAAATCCCTACAACTTTTATTCAGATCATTTTCCTTGAAACTTCAATACTGAAGAGTTATTTAAGGTGGGACATTAAAATGGGACACCCTGTATATATATATTCTTATATTTAGACAAATGTTTATCATAAACGTTTATCACTTTCAATTATATTTTTGCTCATACTGACGAGAAATCTTATCTCAAAGATTTTTAATTAGTTCAAATTTCGTATGACAACGATGTGGGTATTTAGGATTTCATAATTTTTCGGACCAATTATATTTCCCTAATGCAATTCTTTTATCTACTTCTATGGCATCTATAGAAGAAAGTGCGATCGGAATCAATCCCTACGCGTGATATGTTTTCGCAGATAACAGAATAAATCATTAAATGATGTTATCGAAAGCAGAAACACATTCGCGTCGCCCATCGCCGTCAGCTCTCTAAAACAGCAGTTGAGCTTCGTGCTTCGGAGAAACATCATAGCGCACACCGGAGGCTATGCCGACTTATCCAAATAATTTACTCACGAGCGTGCAGCTCACGCACACGGAAACACGCGTGATTCCGCGCGTGCCTCGCCATGTGCTACGGCGAAAGTTCCTATAAATAAAACCTCGTCCCTTTCGAAATCGTAGGTGGCGAGCGAACGCCGGTCCTCCTCCGGTTTGTTTGGATTTACCCGGGATTTCCTGTCCGTGAAAAGCGCCGGAGCAATCTCCTGAATGCGATTTATTCCTATTCGTGGGATACGAAAGGCGTCCGCGAATTGTCATTTTGTAGAATATACATGACACACGTTTCATCTTTCGACCGTTGTAAACGCACGTCGTATTCAGCAAATATTTCTGTACCTTGAGGGGTGAAACGAACCGATATGTCAAACTGAAGTTTGGAAGTAGAAACAATGGAACGTTCACAGCGTTGATATTATGTCGTGTCCAGGATTTAACGCTAAACGTGATTTGTCGGAAAATTTGGATTTTCATCTTTTCCTGCGTATTTCGTTTCAACCTTTGATAAAATAACAATCAAATCCGTTTGTCACAAATTTATAACAAGAAAAAAAAAATATATATATATATTGTATGTGATATATGCAAAATTACTAAATAATATATAATTTTCCCGAAACCAACATAAATTAACAAATTACTGCCGTTTGTTCCTAGCAATCTGTAACTTTCCGTCTAGCACAAACGTACATGCAGGTATTCGCGTAACACCGAGAAGGTGAAAACTTTTCAAGAATGGAAATTATGCTAAAATATTTCACTCAGTGAGACGACACATCGCGATTCCCGTATCGCGGTGAATAATCCATGAGAATGCTTTCAACCGAATAGCCAGGTCGAGAAGCAGGAAGGGATTAGGTTCGCCGAAGGACGTAATGGCAGTCGGTTACCCTTGTCAATATTCGCGAAGAATGCTTTCAATTTTAAAATGCTGGCACCTCGGACTTTTTAAGTCATCTGTCAAATTTCTCGCGTCAGCACTAATGGTCACGTCGAAGCGACTTCAGCCTCATTTGTCATCATATGTGTCGATAAACGACTTTCCTCTTCGATTTGGTATCTCAGAGAAAAGATCGAAGACTCAATTCCGAACACTAAATCTCCTCGCAATTAAATCTCCAGCAAAATATGATCTCTTAAATTTTTCAGATTTACATTTACTTTCTAATAACCTTCCTAATAAATGTTAAAATTAACCCACCTTTTTCGCAATGGATCTTTAATTACTTATACGTCAACAACTATCGATAACCATTTCTGATTCGTAGAGTAATGTCAATTATCCGAATTCATATTCTATTAATTCCACTTGAGGTAAATTGCGCAAGAATATAAGCTTATTCGCGAAGCAAAGCAAGCGAAAAATCATACTTTGGTTATCTTGTGAATTATCTGAAAGTAAAGATAATACGGTTTGTACAAGGAATTTCGCTCCGCACGATGTCGAAGAATCTTACCCTCGCTTCTCTTACCCTAATTCTCTCCGCGGTATAGAACGCGTCTGCGACGCGTCTAGACGACCTACGCCAACTTCTGGGGTCGGGAAGTTTCTCCGTGGGTCTCGAAGCAATAATTTCTGATGGAAAGACCGCGTCTAAGACGAGCCAAGAAACTACTGCCGCTATGCCTCCATCGGCTAAATCACCATAAGGAGTGCACTGAGAAATCTTACACATTTCGGAAAGAAGATCCGCTTGCTTTTACCAAAAGCTCCCCGGAGAAATCTTTCTTCGTTATAAATAAGAAGCACAAAAGTTTGGCTGAGGGAAAAGTAAAGTCTCTCGGATATGAATTACCGGCTTCACGATGTAACGTGACACGTGCAGAGCTTGCGCGAATTTTATTTGAATTTTATGCACCAGTTATATACAAATATCTGCTTTTATTCGCGATATTAACATTGAGGATTCGTTTGTTCGTTTTCAATCACGTTTTCGTTTCGATGTTCAGTGTAGTAGGTGAAGTGTTTAGCTAGTTGCGTATTTTTTCTACTCTCCTGCCCGAAACACCGAGTCGAGTCCATCGAACAGTTAGAAGAGGATTGCAAAGCTTTTCAGTATGTTGCTTTAGCCATGAGTATACAAATACACTTTAGCAGATCTCGGTTTGCTATGCTGCTTAAACGAATCAAACGAGTTCGCGGTTAATATTTGCTTCCCGCAGAAAAAAAGCTAGAGACTTTTTCCAGCGTTTGGGTTATTACTATTTTCTGTATAACGAATAAACACGGGCTGCTGTTTGAGAAATACAGATTGCAACTTTTGTACATTTACGAGGTAAAGAACGAATGAAATCTGAAAGAACACAAGAAACCAGTTTTTCAAAGGCAAAAATTCTCTCCAGCAGATATATGAAACTTCTCGAATACGTGCTTCGCTCGTGACAATTATTTTAATTAATGCACTTGCGCGGTGCGCGAGGTCGACGTAACAAGCGCGCGAGCTGCTAGACGTCGTTTCCGGCAATTTTTTTTAATTCAACAGACATGTATTTTCTGCTACCACGCCGTTCATGTGCGTTCACTTTTAAAGCATCGTTCACGGATTTTCTACACTCATGCTCGCCGAAGATGGAGCCATTCGTCTTCTCCACCTACGTAGTCCGTATCTCCAGTACCTCCCGCAGCGCTGCATCGGAAATTGGAAATCGGATGCGGCGGTATTATTAGAGGGCAAATATCGGAAAATGGCTCACCTACGAGTCAGAAAGGGAATATGCCTTCCCCGCGAGCGTGTATTCTTACATTCCTGCTCTCTCCCAGTTTATCTCTCTGCCTCGATATTCCGTGCGCAATTATTTCCGAAGACATATGTCCCGCTTCTCTCTCTCTCTCTCTCTCTCGTGTGGCGTTGCATTAATCGATAGATAACTACACCTCGTTTCACATGAGATAAGCCGACGCTCCCCGCTGCGTAGAACGCCGTCACTTTAGCGTATATGCAGCTCCGTTGCTATCAGCTAAAACCTTGTTTCTCTACACTTTTTTACGACCGACTTTAGCTGACACGCCCAAGACGATGTTCCTTTTACTCGCTCTCTCTTCCTCTCTCTCTCTCTCTCTCTCTCTCTCTCTCTCTCTCT